AGAGTGGCAGGTATTTTTAGAGAGCATTAAAGGTCCAGCAGTGATATTCCCTGGCTTTATGTGTGATCACGGAAGATGTTTTGACCCTTCATTTCCCTGTTTATTAAGTGGAGCTAGTAATAGTGTCTAACCTCATAGGATGAAGTAAATATTAAAAAGAAATAATGTAAGTAAAAGTCTCACATTAGCTATTGGCAAAGCAACAGGCTACTATAGTTGTTCTCCCCCTCTTCATTTCCCTCCCTCCCTCCCTTCCTCCTCCTCCTCCTCCTCCTCCTCATCATCATCATAATCATCATCATCATCATCTCCAACATCATTGGCTCCATGACTACATCAAGGTGGATTGCTAGCTATGGCATTATAAACACTTTAGTTAAGTTGAATCCCAGACACTATGAATCCCTTTTCCTTTTACTCTTTCTGAAGTGACTGGATTAGATGATCTTCATGATCTTTCCCAATTATAGGATCCTTATATGGTTTGTAGTAGAGTTTTAAAATCAATATATGTTTACTCCAGGATCTCTCTGTTGAACTAATGACTAATATCTTAATAATATTTAAAGGAATTAATTGAAATCTCATGAAAAACATGTTAACACCATATAGTTCAACATCTAACATAGACAGGCAAGGGACTCTGAATTTCAGTATCTTTGAAGTCACTCCTTAATGTGACCAGCATCAACCTTCTTTGGGAACTTGTGAGAAATACAAATTCCAAGATGTAAGTCTAAGCTTGCTGTGTTAGAAACTGAAAGTGGAGTCTCAGAGTCCAACAGGCTTGGTCTGTATTTCTGAGGATGTTGAAAACAGAACCACTGATGTGAACAAAGAATGGGAAAACAAGTTCTGGATAGACATGCACTGGAGCAGCTGAAACTGAACCAGGCCTCTGAAGACATCTATGAAGAAGTACTTTTAGAAGCAGTTAAAAGTCAAGAAGCCAATCAGTTGACTGAAAATGAGGCTAAGATGTCACCCTCCCCTCCGCTGTTTTCTCTAGAAAAGTAATGTACTAAGAAGGTTTGAGAAAAGTTCAAGGGAAAACCCCAGAGAGTGTCTGGGTAATGAGCTAAGCCAATGAGAACACAGAGTATGCCACATTCCCACGTGTGCAAAGAAGCACAGGTTGTCTGTGCTATGTATCACATGAAACTATCAAACTATTGACCTTTTCATTTTTACATTAAAACTTAAAAATCCTTGGCATGCCAAAACCTGACTTATGGGGCTCTGCTTGAATATGGATGTGTAGATATGCCATTCTCTATACTCTACCCAACTTGAAAAACTAAATATTTTCATTAAAAGCTACAATTAGAAAACCATTTGATACACTAAAACTTCACAGATACTTTAACAATGATTAAGGGTAGACGTGAAACACTACTGTAGGAGCTGCGGGAAGCAGCACTTTTAGTTGTTTTGCTATCTTCATTCTCATCTATATACTTACCCAGACCCCATTAAGACCCACATTTCTAATTAAGTCTAAGATATATTAATGTCCATTAAAAACTAAATATATCCAATCTGGTCCCTTAGGCTTTTACTGATTCTGTCTGCTTCAGTCAGAGCTCTTGTAATTTCCGAAGGTATAAACCACAAACCTCTCTCTTCTGTTCATGTCTCTTTGCTGCTCTCTCATACCAACTGTCCTCTAGCACAGTGTGTTTATCGAATCCAATTACTTGAGTTAATAAAGATGACAGGCTATGTTTCTATAATTTCTTCAGTTGTGACCATCTTTATTCATAATTCCATGGTGGATTATTCCCTTTCTTTCTTTAAAACTAGAGCTTAATACTTTCAGGAATAGGAATGTTGTCTCTCTTTGGGTCCCAGCACAAGGCTTAGCAAGCCATGTCAGCAGAAATTGTTCCCTGGTGAATGTAATTCAAAGTATCCCAGCTCTTTTAAAGTCTCTCAGCACTCAAGATTTGAGTATGCCACTGTATCTTTTTCCAGAGAAATAAAATAGTATGTGACCATTGTGTAAAGTAACAATATTTCTCTAGTACACAGTGTTTCTTAGGCTCTAAGTAGTTATTAGTATTCTAATAATTAGATTGCTGCGGTTTTTATATTAGATCCTTGCTTTGAACTTATTTCAAATTACATTTACTGTATCTGGTAGAACATTGCTGCTTTCATTTGTTAAGACTTGGCTCCAAAGACTTCAGCATTAGCGCTGATGTGTTACAGAATATTTGGGAATGAGCGCATATCTATAAACCTGGGATTGAGTGAATTATATTAGTTTATAAAACACTTTAAACAATCCCAAGAGTTATATAAAAACTTACACTGTATGAGAGAAAAAATGTTCCGTAAAAAATATATCTGTTTCCCATATCACACTGATCTATGGAAAGTGACATTCCAAATGATACTGTCTTTGTCTGAGAGATGTATCACCTAACAAAACTCATGCATACACAGCTAAACATTAATGGGGTTTAACTGAGCTCGGACCACATCATTACTGTGTATACTTTGTACATTTCACGTTGTTAAAATCTGATTTTCATTGTACAGTACACCAGACACTCTAACGTAGATTGAGATTGCTCTTCCAAACCTATAAAGCTCAAACCAAAAGGGAAAGTTTTTCTTTATTATCTGTGCCTTCAGCAAAGTGGAGTTCTAAAATGTACAAATAGAAAAGGAATTCTTGGCCAGAATACTAATATAAGAGAAATCTTCCAGAAACACTTGGTCTGGTAAACTTCAGAGTCCTGGCAGATCACAAACCTTTACTACTTTCTATTAATAATCAGGATCCAAGTGCCTGTTAGGAGCCAGGACCTACTTGTGAGATTAGGGTTTAGCTCAGAGGTTGAACATCTTCCAACAAACACTCTCATAATAGCAGATACCTTCTGCAGACAACAGGTTTCTATGGTCAGCACAATGTCATTGCCTAAAGAGACATTATAAATAGTCTATAAAAAACAGAACTAATTATTTCTTTAGGAGCACATATGAAAAGCACATTTAGTGACAACCTTCTGTTCTATAGACTTGATGCGATCCATGGTGAGCAACACTGGATCTCTACATCTGAATTATGGTTGTCTATGAAAACATAAAACAAGAGGGTATACACAATAATATGTTGCTAAATGTAGATGTTTTTAGAACTTTGATCGTAGAAATAAATTCAAAATCACAAGGTGATATATGTCACGGTCTGGGTCTTAAATGTTCCCCCAGAAGCCCTTGTGTTGAAACCATGGATCCCAATGTGCAGCTTTCGAGAAGGGATTGGCTCATGAGGGTGTTCCCTCTTGAAGGGATTGTTTTGATTATGGATTCACAGCTTAATTGGCTTCTGAGAAGTGACAGAGGCTCTAAGAGGGAGGACTTAGTTGGAGGCACTAGATGACTAGAGGTATACCCTTGAAGGGTATAATTTTACCCAGTCCCTTTCTCTTGTTCTCTGTTTTTGCTTCTTGGCTATTGGGAGGTGAGCAGCTTTTATATATCATATCTCCGCCATGTTCTGCTTCACCACCAGCCCTTAGTGATGAAACCTAGCAGCTGTGGATGGAAATCTCTGAAACCTTGAGAATACACCTTCACTCCCTTAAGCTGATTTCTCTTCAGAGTCTTTGTCACAGTTACGTAACTTTGACTAACACTGAGGGAGCAGTAACATAGATACACACTAAAACAGATTCCTACTCATTTCTGTCTTAGTGGTGAAACACTGGGACGTAACACAAAGCAGTCGTTAGGTATTGCTACAGCTTGCCTACCTCAATCTAGGTTTGGCCAATTTTCTGAGGGTCAATGGAGCAAGCAGATTTTCTTATCAGTAGAGTTTAAACAATGTGACAAGTTGTACAGCCCACACTTATATATGAAACAAACAACAACAAAAGCTAGCAAAGCAATAGTCAGAGAAGAATTGTTCCTTTGGAGTGTTATTTTATCAAGCTTTATTTCAGGGAAGAGGAAGGCATGAATGAGGATGAGATTTGAGAATACACCAGGAGACACACACCAACTCTCAGAGGACAGGGAGACACTCAGCCACAGTTTCCATCCTAATAATAGTCAAGTTCCTGATAAAAGTCCTGCAAGGAAGCAAAGATGACAGCTTGCTTTGAAAAAATGAATCCCCCTAATAGTCTATCATTTGAGAGACAGAATTATGTATCAAGCAGGGCAGAAGTTGCTAGAGCTGTAATTAAACACATCTTATGAGATTGCAATGTTTTTCAATTAACCCACTAGCATTGATGCAAGGAAACAAAGAGTTCAGTGTCGAGGAGCCGGCTCGAATAGACAATTGAGACACAGGACAGTGACAAGACAAAGAGTCCAGACAGACAAAAATATTCCTTATTTCTTCCTGTCTACAGCTGCCTCGCCTTACATTAGAGTTAAAACATGGAGAGAGAGGAAACACACCACACTGTATTTACAGCTGTGTGCTATTGTCACTTCATAGCAGTAAGGCATCATACACGTCTGTCGTTAATAACTTTCTTTTCACCCTACGATCATAGTTCAGCTGCTATCTAGTCATCATTTTGTTTAAATGTGAATTTAAAAGAATCCATGAGAATGTGTCAACAGACAGTATCAGAATTAAATGTTGTAACTCACTTTTGCAGTAAGGTACAGGAACCCAGAACAAGTAAGCAGGTTAAATAAAAAAATAAACAAATTATAGTTTGATAGTGTAGGCTCTTAGAGTATGAAAGACCACGCGTGCATTCAGACACAAACAGTGTTTGCACTGCACTGAGAAGTCTGCTGTTTACAAGAAGTCTTTCTGGGGCCCTGCAGTTCTCATTACATTTGATTTGCCAGGGCTGCGAGTGTGAGGGGAGGAAGCAAGCTTAGGAAATGGAGAAGATACTTAGCAGTAGGTCTGTTTGAATAGTTCCCTCATGCTTGTATTAGAATTGCTGGGGACTTGGGACTCTAAAGAAACTTCTTATAGGCAAAAGAAATGAAGGACTGTGCTTTCACACACATACCTGTTTTTCTCCACTTGGCTTTTTGTGGTTTAACAACAGCTCCACAGCCCCAACCACCTCTTTTCTGATAGCATGAAGCAGTGCATCTCCAACATAGACATTGAAGCTTAACAGGAGTTCAATGAGCTCCAAGTTTTCGTTTTCAATTGCAATGAGTAGAGCAGTTCTTCCAAGGGGATCAATGCAGTTAATATTGATTTTAAAATAGATCTCAGCTTCCTCAAGGGATTTCTTGACACTGGCGTAGTCCCCCTTTTCCACAGCATTCAAGTAGGCTTTTTCTGAAGGTGAGAGTTCCGATTCTGCTCTGACAATCCTCAGTGGGATGCGGTCTCGGTAGGGGGCGTTGACATTTCTTTTGTAATAGAACTGAGCCATGCTGCAGGCCGAGCTATCCCATCATCTCTAGAAGCACAAAGGAGAGGGTTAGCGTCAGCATCCTGAGTTTTTTCCAACGCAATCATGTTCATAGTATTGCTGTTAATGAGTTAAAGATGTTCAGTTACCTGAAAAAGAAGTAAAAATGTTTCTAAGCTAAGAATACAAAGGGGTTAGTAATTAATTTATACTAAGAATTTCAAGTAACATTTAGCAAAGATTTCAACTGGAGGCTGGGAAAACATTTACAAATATATATGCACACCCATTTACGAAGATTTTAGGGTTACCTCTTCAGAGCGGGGAATGTTAGAGTATCAATAAGCCCCATAAATTGAACTGGTCCAGACTATAAAATTGTCTGTCTGTTGGAGGACCTACCTTTCCAGTCTCACTGGTCAATTACCTGGTGATAGAACCACTCCCAGGAAGGCAGGGTCACCTTAAATTATGCTAAATATATGGGCGGAATACCTAGTATGTTAATAAGGCAATGAATAGTTTGGCCTGGAGCTCAGATGCCTGCAGAACTTCAAGACCAGCCACAGCCATGTAGGTCTCTGTAAATCTGTCTGCTTTCCTGAACTCTTCAGGAAAGCGTAATTTCTCCTTTGCTTCTTCATGCCTTTCTTACTAAGCATGGTTTCTTTAAAGCTTTGGGCTGCCCCTAGCATCTTGTATTTCTTCACCTTTTCTCTAAAGCTTCCTTCTCCCAGCCATGTGGCTGCATGTCAGCAACATGTCTGACCTCTATGCAGGCTCTAAACCTGCATGGCTTCCATAATTTTCTTTCCTTCTTCCCACTATTCACCTCCTCAAGGCAGCTGCCAAGATTACCAGCTCATCTGCCCCGGGGATTTTTTTCTTTAAGATTCTAATAACATTGTAAAAGAGACTAAGAACCCTCTAGGGGACCCTCTTTCTCCCCGTTTCATATGTACATATATGTATAGATAACTGTATCTGCGAAGCACTTTGAAAATCAAAAGTCATGTCTTTCAGGTTCCAAAATCCAATCAGGGATGTTCAAATATGTCATTCACCATAGATTTTGCTGATCATAAAGATGCTGCTATGATTGTAGAATACTAGTATGTTAAAAAAATATTTGTCATATATTCTATTCTTGACGTTAATAATTCTTTACATCAAAGTTAATCTGAATTAATAGTATTGCTGTCAGTGAAATAACACATTGAGTCTAATGAAAGTAATTTTAGTTGTTTGTGTTTTTAGCGAATTCAATGAGGGAGAAACAATATTACTGATGATATTAATTATCAAGATGAGACTGCAATACAGTTTTCAAATGAAGGACTTGGAAAGAATAAACAGAGAAAGAGTACATTATGAAAATATATTTTTAAAATCCTGCCACCTCTACAAGATGCAAATAAGCTGTAAAGTAGGACTGTATTCATTGTAAAATTTATTATTATTTGGAAGTCACTGCAAAGATATAGTCGAAGCTGAGGAAATAATTAAAAATAAACCAGTGAAAAAAGTCACTGAAAATAATATTGCATTAATATAAATCTAGTGTTCTAAGCTCACAGGAAATACAAAATATATTTTAAATATAAACTCTCTATTGGAGTTTTTCTGAATTTCACAATTGTTATTTCAATTGTTGTATTCTCCTTGTATTGTTACTTGTAACAATATACGTTTATTTAGATATATATCCTGTATAAAATTAAATAAATGAGCCATTGAAATCTCGTGCATGTTAATATTAATTGGTATTTATAGATCTTATGTTTATAAGAGTAAATTTACTTGATTTGAACCATAATTTCTTTAACTGTACATTAAACAGACCTTGAACTAACAAACATAACTCTACTTAGTTTAACAATTTCACTTTGATAAAAGTGTGAGCTGGTTGCATCTGATTTCATTCTATTAGTGATTTCAATAATCAAGTAGTTAAGTTTCTCCATTTGATATCCAGATTATTCATCATGAATTGTCATCCAAAGGTAGAAGAACTAATTTCTAGGGTTGTTATTACATAATTTGTTGCTTTCTAGTATGTTATCATTAGGCGTTTTGTTCAGGGGCCTTCATAGCCCTATTAGCATAGGGGTATGCTATTAGCATATGGATTCATAGCCATAATAGTATCTATTAATTTAGGAATGTAAATTAGTTGAATAAAGCCTGGGTATAATTTAAATATGTTGAGGATGTTTTGTCTTTTTCTGGAATAATTGAATTATCACATATTACATAATGACGAGGAGACTCCTTTTAGAACAGTGAAAACTGTAACAAATCAAGGTTTTAATAATACTATCTCTCAATTTAAGAATTTGATCTTAAAGCCCCATTTATGAACTTGTGATGCTATTAAAATATTTGACTTTAAAAGGTTTGATGAGCCATTTCCTCCATGCCTCTTTTCTAGACCAAAGTCCCCATCAGAGTACGTGAGATCAACACCATGGACTCCACATGCTCATGCTGTCTGCACCACTGTCTGCATGGTTCTTGCTGATGACACCCAGCATTTGCGTTCTATGTTCACAGCCTACAAACTTCTTCTCCTTATGCATGATACTTAAAAAACACATTTTAAAGATTTTATTGAGTTTTGGGTTTCTTACCAATCATATTTTTGCTGAGAAAGTAAATGCAGGCTAAAATTAAAATACATGTAAATGCTCACATTAACAGGCACATGAATCACATCAACATTTTTTGTTTTTGTTTTTTGATTTTG